AAAAACCATGCAAGATGACTCTGGAGAAACTGGCCCCATAGGTGCCCTTAAATCCACACCTATTCTCAGACCAGCTGGCTCCTCAAGGTGGTATTTCGTTGGCGAATTCATTATACTTTGTTGTGGCGAGATAAAGTTCCACATCACCGCAGGGCAGAAGTCAAAAACTGGTAAAATTCAGCTCGAATTATATTTGATGTGGTTACTTCTCCTTCTCAATTAAAAATTTCGAGTTTAACCCTTTATCTCCCCTGAGTGACCAAGAGAGAATTTCTCCTTACAATATCAATACAACATCATGCGTAGAAGTGATAAGAATAAAGTAAAATATCAATTAGGGGATTATTAGTTGATCCAATACCAAATTCTCCAAACTGACATCATAAGAACTATATGGCAGACAGTAAGGAGAATTACTAATGAGATCTTGGGAGTTGAGGGGTTACATAACAACTACGTTGTTATAAAGTGGATCGTTCAACTATCTACTCAGTAAAATGCTCTTAAACCCGGGGATTTCGAGGTAAAGTTATATTCTTCTTGATGAAGTAGACGCAGCGTTAAATAGTTTAAGAAAATCACGACAGCGACGGCAACGAGGACTTAACAAAACAAAAGATCTAATGAGCAAAACAAGTTATACAATATCACGAGTCAAGTGCGATTAAAATTTTTCCTTTTTTCTTGTTTTTAGTTTTTCCTCTTTTTTTATTTCGGTGTCAAAATCATGTAGCAGGGGTACAAAAACGTCTAGTTTTAAACTTCAACGTTTTTCACGGCCGTTTGCGAGGGTCAAATCTGCACACATTCACAGTTGCGTTCGCAGAAGTGAACATTCCATGGTGTCTGAGTTTCCCCGAAAGATTCCGACTTCTTTTTTATAACACACACCGGAGGCAGAACGTTCATTATTCCTCTGTAAACGTTTGTTTCATCAGAATGATCATGTTTAACACTTCTTGGTTTTCTCGTGATATACGAGTGTTCATTGTTCAAAATTTTCGAGGCGAGCCATGTTTCATAACGTTTTGGTTGCCTAACGTATGATACGCGCTGAGTCGTAAGAAGAAACGAGAAATTGAAGGTTGACGAGCTAAATTTTTTCGTAGCCTGAGCATCAGTTGTGGTTATCACCAATCTCAACGGAAAATAGCAGCCTTTGGAACGTTTTGTAAACTTTGCGATAATTCTGTGAGATGGAGAGAGGTGCACTTAGTAACAATTTACAATGCAGAAATTGTTGTCTGTGGCCTGTGAAATCGAAAGTGATGAATTCGGCTGTTTCAGCTGAGGTAAAAGGTGAAAAACTTAGTTAAATGAGCGAGTTTGTTTGATTCATTTTAATTTTTTAATGGCTACAATAATAGTGTTTTGCCTTACGATGTTACTTTACAAGAGAGGAAAAATTTAAGTTGACTAGAACCTGATTCGTGACTCGGACATGACTCGGGCCCGAAGTTGACTCGTGAAATGGTGTAATTCTGAGTAGGACGATACCTCTGCTTGTGCGTTTTGAAACGCATTTCTACCAGTCCTCTACCAAACACAACGTGAAATCGCCAAAATTTGCCTAACCTTATTTCAATCTTCATTCGAATTTTGACACTGCTCACTAAACGTGTCATATGCGGAAGTTGATGCATGGCGCCGGAACAGACGGTAAACATATTCAGCACTACGGGAAATACTAGCAAAAACATATATTCGGTTTTTAATCGATGTATTCCTTGGCGTCGCTGTCCTGATTGCGATTTCTAAAGGTACCTATAGATATTGCAATGCAAGAATTACCTCGCGCATCATTTGTAACTGTTTGCAATTCCGAGAATCAGAAATTATTTCCCCAAATGTTCTCTGTTTTAGTAGCGCACCTCAATATCGCTCCTCTTGCAAAAGCAAGGCAAATAAATTAAGAACAAAACAATTCTCACCTTCATCGAGATAGGCGCTGCTTTTTGGCACAAGAAATAGAGTAAACACAAGCGCTGAAACAAACTGCTTCACAGCCATGATTTCAACTTATCGTCCAAGATCAAGTTTCGTGATGCGTTCTTGATGTAAATTAAAACTGCCGTTAATCATTAATTTTCATGAATGGAGATTATGCATTGTCCGGGGTAAAATCTACTGGATCCTTGTTTCAGATCTGAAGCTAGTTTTGTTTACAATAGGAAGAAAGCTGCTGGGTGACATAATACAAAACTCATTACTTGTACGAAAGGAAAGGGAAGAAACACTTGAGGCCATGCGAGGCAGTGTACATCAAAGACGGCCCAAGCCCCAGCTGTGAGCTGATCACCTTGCAAAATAAGAGTCATGGCGAAATTATAAGAGTTTGTATGGGAATATTTACGATGTTATGGGTAATTGTTGTTGCTCCCAGAAATCTCCAGTCTGCTGAGTCACACTGCCTTGCATACCTTTCCAGAACATTTCATCAAGTCACGCATTATTAAAATAGTTCTTATGCAAGATTCTGGAATGTTCCAGAATACTTTGTGAATTTATGTAAAGACTCACTTATGTAGTAGAAAGGGTAGTTGTTGTTGTCGGAGCGACGACTGTTTTGAAAGTTATACCGAGAGAGAGTTACTGCTGAAGATTGTTCATTTCAAGGAACTTTGGAGACAGCAGTGAGATTGTGTCAGTGGTGAGCTAGGATATAGACTGTGATGGGCTTAATTAAGTTTATCAACGATAAGTACTGTACTGCTTTTAGGAGTAGCTCCTTGTTACGAAAATTACTCGCTGTTCAATTAAGTAGTTGAGTTTGTGGGATTGTAGTGTTTTTCTTTCGGTTAGATTATACCGTAACAACGACAGCTCTTAGGGAAAACAAAAATTCAGTCAAATTCTCAAAAAAAATACCTCACCTTACTTCCACAGTGCATCGCTTGTTATCTGACCGCTTACTGATGTTGAAAAGAACCCATTTTAGCAAGTTTTCCATTTCTCAGTTTACTACATAAGAGAAGTCCCCTTATAATTTCGCCACGACTCTTATTTCGCAAGATGATCGTCTCACAGCTGGAGCTTGGGCCACCCACTGAGATTTCCCTTTTAAGGTTTAAGCTATTTTTTAGATCAGTTTTTGAGCCAAAAAACTTGAGTTTTTCAGTTTTGGCGTTTATTTTGGTTTACAGATTTTCCGTTTTTTTTTAGCATTTGGTTTTCGGCTTCGCTGTGGCTATATGTCAGGCGGCCCGTCAAGGTTGGGTGTTACTAAACTGAGAAGTGGATGACCGCGGAACCTCTGGAACCGCGGAACCTGCGGAACCTTTAAGTTTTTGTAAAAAAAAAAAAAAATAATGAAATGAAATAAAAACTAAAAATACCTTAGCACTGTTCGAGATTTCGTGTTGAGGCATAAACAGGTTTTTTTTTTTTAATCTTCCTTGACGTCCAACCACAGGAAGCCCAAACTCGTGACCATCTGTGAATATGCAAATGTATTCATGTTGTGCAATGGGTGAAATCTAAGGATTTGTAGGGTAATAAACAGTCCTGGTTGCAACCTTAAAAAGATCTGGACAAGTCTCGAATAAGAACAAATTTACTCCGCTGAAGAGGTTGTTCTTTTGCATTGTGTGTATTTTTGGAGCTTATTCAGGGCAGTTTAGCTCAGTTTTGGTTCATCTGCCTTGCTCTGTACGTAATCCTTTCCAAGATTAAACCTCTGTGAGTAACGCCAACCAAACGAATCCTTTGGAAGCAAAACGCTGTAGATTCACTCCGGACGCCCCGATCACCCCCGAAATTCTACAAGCTTCACGGGCGATGTTACTTTACGCTCGTGTTTCATTCCAGGGTCATGTACAATGAATTCCAGCCTAAAGGTTTGCTACGAGCCTCTGGATGAGGCGTTATTCGGATACCGCGGTACTCAAACCGTTAGAGCTTTCAAATGATTGTTTATTTGTTAACACTCGGGGTAGGTGACTGCAGATTGCTCTTAATGATGTTACATACCCTTTTACTAGTACTGTGAATGTCGCCACAATTAAAGTTGGGACGTCAAGGACAGTTACAACATATTTCTCTTTTTAAGGTATTCTTCTTTATTCCCGAAAACCAACTTCCAGTCAGTGTTAAGGTCCTTTTCAGTGTTCATTTTATCTGATTACTTTTCTTTCAAAAAGAAACATGGGTTCCAAAGTTTCCGCGGTCAGTAACACCCTGCCAAAGTTTTCGGCAGTCTGATATTTTTCAAAAATTAAACAAAGAGAGAACCTATACAATCCAAACAACTACTTTTTGTTTAGGAACTGCAAGGCGATCCCGAAGGGATTTATTAATATCACGTCCCGCGCTCGATTTACGTTGGGCTCAGAATACGGATCCATCGTCGTTGATTATCGTTGATGATCGCTATTCCCCAATACTTTCCCTGTGCTGTTTCACACACTGAATGAATGGAAAATCCCAGCATAGAATCCTACTTGTTACAACTTCTAAACTAAACTTAAACCCTTAATATCGCTGTATTTTCTTTATGTACAAATTTTGGTTACCTTCAATTGGCAAAAATGGTAAATTTACTTCAGAAGGTTATTGTAATACTATAAACTAGCTTTGTCTTGTGAGGTCTTAGTTCTTCAGAACTAATGCTACACATAAAGGTTTTAAAGTCCAAAACACCTGCGATGCTTCGACACTAAGAAAAATTCACCTCTGAGTCACTATAAATAAGTTACGTTGCCAACTAAGCCTCGCAAAATATCTTCTTTATAAATAATTTGTGAGTAATAATTAACTCTTAACTCCCAGAAGTGATTAACAAGTAACTTCTCCCCATAATATCCATACAATACCCAGCAAACAGGTAGCGAGAAAACTCAAACTCATCGGGTAAAAGATATTACCT